TATTAAGTTGGCTTACAGGAGAGTATTTTTGTTATGTTCCTACCAAGTATCCTCATTTTATAGATGAAATATGAGGAACAGAAAAGATAAATGACTTACTTAAGGTGACATAATTTGTTGATAGAAGACCTAGGGAAAAAATCCAATTTTCTCCACCATCCCCTCCTATAGTGAAAATGAAGGTAGAAAGTAACTAGCAAATGTGGTTACTAATCTGGTCAAAAACAGCTATCATCTTTTATCAAGTCCTAGTGGTTCAATCAAGGCTCTGTAGTAGTAGATTTCAAAGAAGGATCTGTATGACTAACTACTGACTCCACCCCTCACTCCCACACACACCCCCTTCCTCTCTGTCCTATGCCTCAAGTTGAGGTTATCTTCAACCCTTCTTAGGGGTAAAATTGTAAAGACAGATGAACTTCTTACATGGGTAGGTTATAAAAGGACAATCAAGTTGAACTAGACTGAGGAAAACTGAAATGTTTTTGTGTCTACTTCCATCTGTAATGAATGACTTTAAATTATTTAAATGAATGTAAATTAAAAACTGTTAGCTACAGAGTCACCAGAAAACCTAGTGGATACCACCAACTAGAAAACAAACACTTATACCATAACTTAAGCCCTGTTAAATACTGTTAGGAAGCATTATTTATTCTTGCCTGACTTTCACTTTAGATGCAGAACAAATCACAGTCATGGACCAAATCATAGAGTCAGATCTTGGTGTTCTTCAAGAAGTTCAGTCTAGTTCAGCATAATATAATGGCAGAATAATTTAAAGAAATTTCACTAGACTGCTAGTCTGGGGAACTGGACTCTTCATTTAAATAGCAGAACATCATCTAATTGCTTCGGACCTCAAGGTGTTTGTAGACGGCTCCGTGGGCTGCTCTACCTCCCACATCCCTTCTAGTTCTAAAATTCTTTAACACAGCATTATCCTATAGAGCTGACTTGTGATCCAGTCTGGTTAAATATTAGCTGTTGTCATTCAGCCACACTGTACCTTTCTTTTACTGTCTGCAGATCATTTTGGGGCCTGTGGAAAGGACACTAGAAGGGGCTTGGAAGACCTCAAGATCTCAGTCTTAATTCCACTCCTTACTGACTCTGAGTCTTATAATAATACACTCAACCTTTCTAAATCCTCTTTCTTAACTAAAATATGGGGGAAAAAATCTCTATGACTTAAATAATAGGTTACAGTGGGAATCAAGTGTAAAATTACAAACAAATATTAACTCCCTTCAAAACATAAGGAATGATTATCTTTAAAATAGAAACAATGCTATTGGCTTTCTTTAAAATCTTTAGAATATTGCTTACTATGTCTACTTGGACTCCTATAACAAATGCCATGGACTGTGTGACTTGAACGGCAAACATTCATTTCTCATAGTTCTGGACTGTGAGTCCAAGGTCACTGTTGGCAGGTTTGGTTCTCGGTGAGAGCCTTCTTCCTTGCTTGCAGATTGCCACCTTCTTTCTGTGTCCTTCCATGATGGAGAGAAAGAGTTCTGATGTCTCTTCTTCTCAGATAACCCATCCTGTCATGGGGCTCTACCTTCATGACTTCATCTAAACCTCATCACCCCTCAAAGGCCCCACCGCCTTCTTAACACCATCACATGAGGGATTAGGGCTTCAACCAATGAACATGCAGCCCATAACATTCACATTAATGCTGGGAGAAAGATGTTACTGCCAGTATTTTGATATCCTCTAAAGAAGAGGAAATCTCAAAAGGAATTCAGATCATCCATGGTTGTAGGGACTATAATTTTGCCATTAACATTTTTACAACAGGACAAAGGACTCTCAAACTCAAAATTAAAACAGTGAAGCCACCTTTCTTTACCAATTCCATAGGTTTTAAATGTGAGAGTGTGAGATCTCTAAGGCATTACAGATATCATCCACACCATTTCCTCCCTTTCGTAAGTAGGTTTGTTGACAGAACCAAAAACTGTATGTTTTAGCAAATTGCTGATTATGGGGGCGCCTGAGTGGCTCAGTCGACTATGTATCTGCCTTCAACTCAGGTCATGATCCCAGAGTCCTGGGATCGAGTGCCGCATCGGGCTCCCTGCTCGGCAGGGAGTCTGCTTCTCCCTCTGCTCGTGCTCCCTCTGCTCCCTCTCCCTCTCTCTCAAATAAATAAATAAAATCATTTTTAAAAACCCTGCTAATTATGTGGACTCAGTCCCAAAATGATGGCCCTTCTTCTATATCATGCCTTTAGTACGTTTGGAGGTATGGTATGCCGTTTTAGAGGTTTCCATCTACCATGACTTATGCAGAGGGTGTGTAAGATTGTGATCATTCTGTAGAGCAAGCGGGAAGTCATAACAAAAAGCAGGTTTCCCATCCCCTTCATTTAGATGTAGGGCAACTGAGAAGTTTTGCTTCTAGCCAAAGGTCATATAGTTAGGAGGCAGGCTAATGCAGGTGAAAGCATGTAGGCTTTGAGTCCTTTAAACCTAGAATGGAACACTTTTCTATCACATTTTAGCTGTGTGACCTTGAGGCAAGAAGTTTTAGTTTCCTAGGCCTTCAGTTCCACATCTGCAAAATGTTAACAATGTAAAGATGAAATAAGTTAACAGACAAAATGCCTGGCACATAATAATATTTACCGGCCCAACTTCTTTCTTAGTAGCAAATCAAGGGCTAGCAACCACAATTCTTAACTCCTTGTCCATTACACTTCAAGTTGCACAAATAACAATACTGTTTTGAACTGAGAATATTAAGTGCATTTTTTAAAACCTTGTCTTCCAAAATCAATCTCTTCACATTTTTAATAATGCAAGAAAGGAGCTTCAAGTGGGCCTACAGAGATTTTTATGAACCAAAGGGTTATTTTTAATTGGATTTTGGCCTGTTGTTACGGAAATAGTTGTTTCGTAGATTAAGCATTATGCCTTGAGAGCAAGATCAAGCCCAGAATGTGGTAAAATGATGATATCATCCCTAAGCTTCTTTTTCTTGACAAAACACTTTTAAAATTAAGAGAACGGGAGTGAAGCTGCTTCAAAAGCACATGTTTCTAAGAGAAAAAGTCTTCCCTATAAAAATAACTTTAACATGATATATTCTCTTTTCAAAGATCAAAACTAAGAATGACCCTTGCTGCCAGTAGGATACTAAGATTCTGCAGAGTTATTAAGCGCTTCTTTCTTCACTGTTGAAACTAGAAAGAGTTCCTTTGATCGTGGAACTTGCTTTCAACATTTGGTCTCAAAGCTTTTTTTTTGCCTTTTTTTTTTTTTTTGCAGTTGCTGAACTAAGAGGCTTCCTCTAGTTATTTAGTGATCAATCTCTCAAAACTGCTCTGTCTAGACTCGTTTTTATTCATGTATCCGGATGTGTAATTTAACTTTTCTGAAGAAACAAAAAGATTATTTCTCATCTTAATGATGCTTTCTTTTAAAGACATGAAGCAGTTCCTCCTGCAAAATTTAGCTTATCCCACTGGTTTGTTTAAGCCCCAGAGAAACCCCAACCAAGAAAAGCGGAGCTTGCTCCTGTTATATCCTAAGAGAGAAATCAGGATAGCCAGCAATACCAAAAGCAAACAATGATCTGCTGTTGGATGGACTACTGAGGTTCTTCTACTTGGTTCTGTTAGTTCGTTCTTTCTTTCTTTCTTTCTTTCTTTCTTTCTTTCTTTCTTTCTTTCTTTCCTTCTCTTTCTCCTTCTTGGCCTTTTCTATGTCCTCCTATGAGTCTTGGACATTGATTGGTTTTGCTGGTAGAATTTGGTTGAAGAAATTATGAACCCAACCCTGATCCTGAATCTGTTGAAAGTCATGAAACTCAGTGATGTCACGTCTTCCATTATTTTAGCATACCAACACATTTCAGTAGTTGGAAAACAGGGGGAAAATCCATCCCCAAATAATGTATCTTTAAAAACGTCTCATTACTTTTTCTCTGTGAATCATAGTGTCAGATTAGTGGAAATACTTTTTTAATTAAAAAATCTCCAGGCATATTAAAGTTTTTTTTTCCCTTGCTTTGTTTTTACGTGGAATAGGGATGTTTGTCTAACTTTGTCATTTCAGTAATTTCCACAAAACAACTTTCTGAAATGATTTGTCTGTTCCAAGCCAATGTAAATCCATTTGTAATCCATTTGTATGGATTTACATAGATTCACTGGCAGCTCCTTTCCCAGGTGGTTACATTTCTTGCCTTTTTTCTTTTGGTCCTCAGCTGGGAATTCCTGCCCTCTAGTGCTGTTCAATCTCACTTTTCTTTCTTCCTTCCCACCCAACACTTAGACCTTAATTGGCTATAACCTTTTTTTTTCATTTCCTACGAGTCAATACTTTTATCTAAACCCACTCCACTAGACTTAGTTTTTAGATACGACATTCCATAAACTTAAGAATTTAATGAACATTGGAGGTACGTGATGTAAGAGTCAAGAGTAGCCATCACACAACCCCGCCCAGCGCAGTCTCCTCACCAGAATCTAATCGGCTAGTTGCTCTGGCTGAAGATACTTAGCTAATTACTTATGGTCGGCTCTCTCCCAGAAGTCAGAGGCTACAACACTGCTATCTGCTTCATTAATAAGAAAGCCATAACTGCAAAGATCGGAGAATTCCCTGGGAAAAACAACAACAACAACAAGCAAGTGTGTGTAAATTTGGGAGGCTTCCCGATGCTATATTGACTGTGCCTATTTATGACAACAAGGTTCATTCACTTGTCTGATCAATGCATAATGTTAAAGATTCTTCTCAAAGTGTCACACCTGAATGTCTGTTAACTTGTCATTTTCCTTGCTTGCTCTGACTCTAATGGGCTTGAAAATTGATCCAGCCAGTCTCTTCTCTCACCTCTCTCTCATTTCTTTCTCTCTTGTCTCTCCTCCCTCTCCTGTGCTTCCCACACCCCTTACTTTGTCTCTTTCTCTCACTCTCTGTGAGGTTCATTTGCTTGACTGATTCTGAGTGTCCATAATGACTGTTTGGCATATTCTACAGGCAAAGGTCCCGAGACCCTTTTTGCCGGCTATAACCTCAATGATAACGAATGGCACACAGTGCGTGTGGTCCGTCGAGGAAAAAGTTTAAAGTTAACCGTGGATGACCAACAGGCCATGACAGGTAAATCCCCCTGTTTCCATTGCTTTTTCTTTTGCTGAAGCTTTAGTCCTTCCCATTTCTTACAGGTGACTATGAAAACCAACTACACAACTTGACGCTGATACACACAGTTCATTTTTTCGTTCCAATTTTTCCAGCAACAGTGACATTTAATAAGCAGCATGTTAAATGTTTTTTCTCTCAAATGAGCAATACTTTCATGTCATGTTCTTTCCTGTAATTTAAGAAGATGTTACATATTTCAGTGTTGTGGCTTGATAAATATCTTAGGGCCTCATAAAATATTGAAGTCATTGTTTACATGCCAATCTCTGTTTAATTTCTTTGTTTTTTTATATATTTTGGCAATGAACAGCCGCAAGTTATACTTTTTAGTGTCTAGGGAAATTGATAGATATGCTGGCATTCTGTCGGATGAACCACTTTAGCATTAGAAGTCTGGCCATTTACCTCAGTTGGTTAAACTCTAATATTAAAGATGTCATGTTCAATCCCTGATATGTAGATTCCTCACTGAGGTGAACTGTATAAAAGTCCACCCCCCAGGGACTTAGGGAAACCGAATGAAAGAGGAATTGGTGCACCTTTGTTCTCTCTGCTGAAAATAACTCCAAGCACATGACCCACTGGGATATTAAGTCTTTTCTTTTTTTAGGGAACATCTCTAAAATTATTAATTATTTTGGAACAATGTACAAGAAAGTCCTTGTGAAGCAGGGAAGTGTGTCCCACATTCATTCCTAAGGGGTTCCCATGATCAGAGACCAGTTGATTCTGTCAATGTGGAAATAGCATGTGTGGGATTTTAACTTTCGAGAGAATCATTTCTGAGTTCAAATGAACCAAACTACCAACTTCTAGCTGTCTTTACTATCTTACATTTCAATAGCCCTTAATGGCTTTCCAGAACTTTTTTCTACATGTAGGTGCAGCTTTATTTCAGAATCACCTGAAGAGCTTTAAAAGGACCAGTTCCTGGCCTGACATCAGGGAAAGTCTAGGAAGAGCCCAGGAACTGTTGTTCTTTTCATTTTGTTGTTGTTGTCTTGTTTTAGGTTTTGGGGTTTTTTTTTTATTTGTTTGTTGAAAATCTCTTCAGAGGGGACTCTCATGCAGCCGGTTCACAGATGAGCATTTAGAAACCACTACTATGTTATATCATCTTGTTTTCTGAGAAAGAAAATCAACCAGAAAGCTGTTAGCATAAGCCCTTATTCAAAATTGCCGAACATGAGAAGGCTCTAAGGAACAGTGTGAACTTAGGAAAGGAAAGCAGAATTTTTGCCGGGCTTTGGCAGGAGTGTCAACTGAAGTTCAGCTAGTTTTGGTCAAGGATGGTCCTTAGAAGAGGAATGAATTGTTTTTGTAGAGTAGCATCCATCATTTGGACGATTTGAGTTTTATCAAAAGGAGTAGAAATGAGGAGTTAGTGTCAAAGGTCATGTTCAAGAGATTTTGAATACATAGCTCCCGGGGAGAAGGACATGTGAAAACTACAGGAACATTCGTCAGTCCCTAAGTGTGTCTTAAATCTCACACAGTGCAATGAAATGGACAGGACATATGCATCCTCACTTTACAGATGATGAAACTGAGGTTCAAAGGGGTTCTCCCTTGCCACTAACAACATTTCTTTGAAATGCCACTGTTGTCAGAACTTAGAAGAGGACCTAGGCTTGTTTATATTGTTGTTGCTGTTGATTTGTTTTTTGACTCATGGTCCATTGCTTTATATTCATTAATATCCTAATAAGTGTATAATTCGAAGACAAGTACTTATTCCTGTAGAATATGCCGAACAGTCATTATGGACACTCAGAATCAGTCAAGCAAATGAACCTCACAGAGAGTGAGAGAAAGAGACAAAGTAAGGGGTGTGGGAAGCACAGGAGAGGGAGGAGAGACAAGAGAGAGAGAAATGACAGAGAGGTGAGAGAGAGATTAAATTAATCTTAAAATTAATTAAAGATTATACTAGAACTAGGCTTTAAAGAGAGGGTGATGCAGATGATAAAACTATGTGGGGGAGCGTTCATACAGGGCAGAATGGTTCTGATGGGGCTACACAGACTAATGTTCAGGGGACATAGTTTTGTTTTGCTTCATGCATCCATATGGTAGTTGACAGGGCTAGAATGGCCTTTTGGGGCAAATGGGTCAATGCTCTCAACGAAGGTGTTTATTTTTCACGGACCTTCAGGCAACTGGAAAGCTTGAGAGTAAGCTGAGAGAATATTTTTTGAGCAAAATAAATCCTGTGTCAGTGTATTAGATTGCTTCAGGATGTAGAGTCGTAAGTCCTGAACTACAGTGGATGAAGAAAGGATAGAAACAAAAGTATGGTGTAACACATTTTGTTAAATTTTATTTAGAAATAATTTCAAATTTACAAAAAAAAACATTCAAAAATAAATACTGTACTAGGGCACCTGGGTTGCTCAGTCAGTTGAGCGACCAACTCTTGGTTTTGATTCAGGTCATGATCTCAGGGTTGTGGGATTGAGCCTCGCTTTGGGCTCCACACTAAGTGAGGAGTCTGCTTGTCCTTCTCCCCTGCCCCTACCCCCACTCATGCTCGCACTCTCCCTCTCTCAAATAAATAAATAAAATCTTCTAAAAAATTAAGAAATTAAAAAAATAAAAACAGTACAAAGAACACTGATATATCTTTACTCTTGTGAACATTGTATCCCATTTCCTTTGACATTTTCACTTTCTCTCTCCTTTTTTTTTTTCCATAACCAGTTGAGCAAAAACTAAATACAAAATGGCTATTTACCCCTAACTACTTCAGTGTGCATTTTCTAAAAATAATGATATTCCCTACATAACAAAGAGTTACCAACTTCAGTAAATGTTGCTTGGATGCAATATATTTTATCCGTTCTGTCCTCCATACTCCAATTTAGTCGATTGACCCAGTGTTGTCTTTTATAACATTTCCCTTCCAGCACAGTGTGCAGCCTGGGGTCAGACACTGCATATAGTTTTCAGGTCTCTTTAGCCTTCTTTCATCTGAAAAATTTCCATCAACTTTTTTTTTGTCTGCCATGACATTGACATTTTTGAAATCTATAAACCTCCCACCTTTTGTCACTGCAGAGTCACTCATTTTGTGTTTGATGTTTTCTCATGATTAAAGTCGGGTTTTGCATTTTGGGGTGGAATATTACATAGGTGTCATTGTGGCCTCCTTCCAGTGTCCCATCTGAAGGCACAGGACGTCCCTGTCCTTGACCGGTGATGGGTCAACACTCTGTCCAGTTTCTCCACTGCATGAAGGGTAGGTTTTCTCCCTTGCCACTAATAAACTGTCTGTGGAGAGACGTTAAGACCATGAAAATAGCCTGTGCCTCATCAGAGGTTCACCCTAGATTTAGCATCCATTGAAGATTTTCTCCTGATCCAGTCTTCCCTGCGGTAGTTACGAAGTGATTATTTTCCACCTCCAATATTTCTTTTTTCCTTTTCCTTGTTTTCCTTTTTTTCCTTTCATTTTCCTTTCTCCCTTCCTTTTCTCTCTCCTTTCCTTCCACTCATCCTTCCTTCTTTCCTTCCTTCCTTTATTTCTTCCTTATTGGTATGGACCCACGAGTTTCTGTTTTTCAAACAGTTTGTAATTACTTTACTAAATTACTTTGGGCCAGTGTGAATCCCATGAAGTTGGTCTTTGTCATATTGTGACATGCCCCACCCCAGCATTTTCAGGGGTTTTTTTGTTTTTGTTTGTTTGTTTTTGCCCTTCCTTACTTTCTGCCGTGACAGGACATTCCAGGCCCAGCTTATACCTACCTTACCCAAGCCCTGGAATCAGCCCTTCAGTCTTCATTTAGTCACGACTGATATTATAGACCAAGATCTGGGTGGTTGGTGTGCTCAATGCTCCTCAAGTATATTTGTTTCCTGATCCTTTCAGCAGGCAAAGATAGGAAATATATTCAAGTATCTACACATATCTGCATATATATATAAATATACACACACTGAACTGAAGAATGTTCCTCTGTGGTTTTCACCTGTCCTTGTTGCCGGCTGCTATGTGTTCACAACATTTGCACATGACCTTAGGTACTAACTCGTTATTTCTACTCCTTTTGATAAAACCCAAATCATCCAAACAGTGGATGCTAATCTACAAAAAAATACATGTGCACATAGACATGCATATACGCATATTTTAGAAAATATGAGTTCACAGTGGTACCTCCATCTCGACCTCATTGTTTCTTCACTTCCCACATTCTGTGTTTCCATGTTCCTTCTTCTATGGTGGGATCCTTGCTCCCAGTGATGTCAGTTACTCACGTGCTACATCCAACAATGAATCTAAAATAGTTTCAGGATTACTTGAAATTGCCCATACTACTACAAGTAATGAATCAACTAAAAAAAAATTCAGGATTAGTTTGTGATTCTTATTCCCCAATGCCTAAGACTTAACAGATAAAATCAAATGCTGAGTTTATAAGTAACTTGGATGATAACTTGGTTTGTTTTCTTCCTTCCTTCTCTCCCTCCCTTTTTTTTTTAATTTTCTTCCTACCTTCCTTTCTTTTAGTGTAGTTACAGTGTTCATTTGAAATACAATTAATTTATTTCAATTTAATTTTTCCTTCCCATTCATATATACTTACACTTGGAAGTACGTACATTAGCATGCTTTTAAAATCAGTGCAACACATTTTGAATTAAGAAGTGATGAATGAACAGAGTGTGAATATGATCGGTGTAACAGAGAAAATTCTAGAAATGGCCCCTAAATGAATTGCCATCTAATTTTCCTAGAAAATTCAAGATATATATTTTCAGTTGCATAGATTCCTATTAAGGTTCTAAGTGAACGGCTATGTTCTACCTCAGTGAATTGCCTTCTTCAACTTTCAACTTTCAGTGAATACATCATTCCTTTGTTTACTTAAATGGCCATGCATTTATCTACCACCAGCAATCATAATGTTAGGAAACAGAATTAACAGATACTTACTTAGTTTGCAACAAAT